CGTATGGACAAAGGGCTTGTTGATGTCCTGGATGTCTGGCCCCATTCAAAAAGGCGTATGAACCGGACTCCGGTCACCGGCTCCCAATGGATAGTGGACTCCCTACTCCACTCCTACTGCCTTGTAGGTCACACTTGGCTGTGTAAAGGCTAGAGCTGCACTCTCAAACAAAAGGCCGAGCGATCCTGGGGACATCACTCGTACCAAATTCCCATGAAACTTCATGAACTCTCTTACAAATTGCCGCGCCTGGGCAGCGATGATTCGAGACGTTCATGAAGCCGCTCATCCTCCCGTAGGAGATAGCCGAAGTAAAGTAACATAAGAAGACGTAATTTGTCTGATTCGTGTGTGTAATGTGTATTTGCGCAACACATTTCGAACAGTTTGATCACACTCCACGGACTTGTCATATATGTGAATTTAATAAGGAGGTAAGAGGTGAGAAAATAGACTACTTAGGTCAAGTTAAAAGGACATATTGAAAGTCAAAATAACAATGAAGATCACTAAACCAAATAACAGAGAGGTAATAGTACATCTGCTATGGTATCCAAGCAAAATTTACCAAGAAAGGTTTAGTGTGACAACGAATTGTTGCTTTGATCGCATAAAGGTGGCTTAAACTTTCTAATTGCTAGGGCCTCCACAAACTTTAGGATACGCCCCAAACACGTTTTATGGATGGATAGGTTTAAAAGATCTGTTAACGTCAATTTTATGTCCTGTTTCCCCTGTAATATGTTTCGCAATAGAAGAGCTAGGTCTCCTGTTCTCACCATTAATGGGTTCTGAAGGTCCCATTTGTTTCTGGAGCCATTTAGGAATATGCTTTGAAGTCATCCCTTACTTGCAGAGATGAATGAGTCCTGCCTTCTATGTATGTGTGTCCACAAGTACATTCAAATTGGTAAATAGTTATAGAGTGTGATAAACGTCCCCTGGGCTGATATTGATTACAAAATGTTGTGAAGTGGAAGACAATGGTGGTGGTGGTGATTAGCCATAATCGATTCGTAGAATGTAGAGTCGGGAAATTGACAAGTTAGTGAGTTCAAGGTTATAAAAGGTGTCAGGTGGGTGAGTGAGTGAGTGAATAGTACAAAGTAGTATGTATTACTAAACAGGCGATAGTAAGGCTACACTGAGAGGGTTCACAATGAAATAACGAATGTGTGAACTGAAACAGGTGAAGGCATATATCGAGAAAAGAGATAACATCACTACTAATAAGTCCGGATAATATAAATGGAAAATTCGATAATATTGAGAGAATGTTTGCATGAAGGGTATAAATTATGACAAATAATAATAGTAATTGTAATAATAAGCAAAGGGAAAACACCAGGGTGTTAAGGGGAAGGAGCACCCTTGGTGAGGAGAAGAATCATTAATCCTAGTTTGGTCACGGTAGGAACAGCGTCTGGACGTGTTGTTTTTGGGTACAAAGTCCCGGTTTAGTCGAAATTATTGCAGCAGCTTCAACTGTGTGCAGGAGACGTAAACGAACTGTACGTGATAACGATTTCGGGATTCGGTATGTAACCCGAAAAGATGTGTTGACGTCGATGCGATGTCCAGTATCGTTTGAAATGATTAGGACATGTGTTGCACATGCCTAGTCATCGCCTTCTTTGACGGTCAGGTAAATCTTAGCTGATATACGATTGTTCAGGTTGGAAAAGAGCTAGGGGCGGTCAAATTAAAACAGCTCAATCAGTCCATAAAACTCATAACAGTTAGTTTGAGCCAGCCATGTAGGGAGGTGTAGACTTCCCAACTGGTTGAGGTCCTCAAAACTCTAACAGTCAATGTCTAGGGATTGTTAGTGATGTGTGTATCAAAGTCGTTTTAAGTGATGCAAATATATTCTACTTTTTTCTTCATTTAACTTCTCGTGGTTATCCCTATTACTGTTCTTACTTTCTCCCTCACATTTTTCCTTATGTATAGTACCTATGAATCTCTTGTTTCTCACTTTAGTCTTCTTTTATGGTCTCAACATCATGCATGGTGTGTTACAACCCTAACTGTTGCACTTCTTTGCAAAGTTCGATGATGAAACTAGTCCGTCAAGGTTTCACTACCGCATTTCCATTCTGTTTTATACAATCGTGTTTAGGCCTTCCCTAGGCTCTCATTTTATTTTCACACGATTCGTCTTCCCCCTTCCTCCATATCGCCCTTGGACTAACACCCAACTCGTTTTGTTCTATTGAGATTTCACTCTAGAGTGGAATGCTCGGTGCACGATTTTACTCAATGGTCTCTTAAGCGTGTGTTGTCGCCTCTTCATCTCTATTTTTTTCCCGGCATATTGTTAGGCGGTAGGTTTTATGGTTGGTTCGCCTAATTATTTACTAGTCGCGTCCCAAACCCAGAAGGCGCATACATTAGAGGAAACTGTCGAATGACATCTCGTGTGAATGCAGGCCATTGCGCGAGTGGAATCCAAATTGGAAGCAACGAGTGGGTTGTCAGTTCGAGATAGTGACAGGAATAGGTCGTGTGAGGAAGAGATGAGAGAGAGAGAGAGAGAGAGTTTGAACAATCGTGAACATAGCCAACTCAACAGGATGGTCAAAAATAGAACAAAGTGAAGATGTGTTTTGAAGCCCTACATATATAATAATAATAGGGAGGAGTTTTGGTGTCTTCAAGTGTTGGCATGTAGGGATTTGATTAGTTACAGGATTTCATCATGAGCTGACATTGGTTAGAGAACCACTGGAAAAACCTGGGAGAAGTGGACATCTGTTTCGTCTTAGTTTTGGACTGTTCAGCAGTAGGCATCCACCCCCAGGGGCCGAACCCAGGACCTTCTGGATAGAAGGCGAGCTCGTATACGATTAAGCCACTGGGACCCGATCCAATGGTCAGCTCATGAATTTTAACTTCTGCCAATTCACGACATAGTGCGACCCCTAGCCAATGTCATCGGTGGCGAGTATTTGTCCTCACACCCGACCTGCTGCACCCTACTGGTCACGACTTCTCACTAGAACCCCAGGCAGTGATATCGATGGAATCACTACAGAAACTTCAACACACAGAAATCATATTTAAAAAAAATATAATAACCAACTGCTACTACCACTACTACTAATAGTCTTATACAAAAACTAAATATCTATCCATGTATCCGGTTTTTATTTGTCTATACTTACACAGACTTACTTAATTTGCATTTATACATGTATGTAGATAGATAGATAGATTGATCAATTTGTCTCGAATTTTTTGTGGTGTATAAAAAGTGCTGATTTGATTGTTTTGTGCTACAGCGACAATGTGTAGACAAATAGAATATGTAATAAGAGTGATATATATATATATATATTATTATAATATAATATAAATGAGTAATGTGTGTACTATTTATTTCATATGTATTTATACACTCACACAAACGCACACACACACATAAACATACACTTTGGTTTGTTTACTTCGTGTACAAATCACGTAAATGTTGTATGTTCCAATGTGGGGCGGGAGAGGGAGATGTGGTGGTGTTATTATTTAAGGACAAATTGAAAAGAGAGAAATAGTTTAAATTTTTTTAATTTGTGTGTTAGAAAAAGTATACCTTAAAACACCTGGTTTTCTTTGTTTGTTCGATTTCGAGCATATTAGTCACTAGACATCGACCAGTTTTGTCGTCTCTGTGTGTACACTAGTAGTGTGTTTTCTTGTGTGTGTGTGTGTGGCTGTCGTCATTATGAGTGGTCGCAAAGTTGGTAGAAGAGGAGGAGGAAGGGGGGAGGAGACCTGTCTGTGGAACAGTATGAACAGCAGAAGGAAAGCAGGATGCTAAAAGTAACGTAGACAAAGTTGGTGCCGGGGTTGGGGGGTTGGTGGTTGGTCATCAACAGAGTTTTGTGTGTTTTTCGAGGTGTATTTGGGCGGTTATCATTACTTCCTGGCTCTTACACTGTGGATGTTGCGTGGCGTTAGATCCCTGTAGAACAACTGATTGAGACTGATCACACATACCCTTCCTGTTTGATGAATTGGTGTGACTATCTTATCGATGCAAGGTAAGTTGGAATGTGGAAGTTTCGGGGTCGACCTTTTCTTAACTCCCCTTCACCAACCTTCAGAGTGGAGAGGCATCTCATTACTGCTCCATCTTCCTATTCTTCAAGAGTATGTGAAGTCAGTGCTACTACACGGATCAGAGACTTGGCCAGCGCGTCAAGAAGAGCATCTCAAACAAACTTCAGATCTTCATTAACAGTTGTCTTCGCTCAATACTCAAGATCAGATCACTGACCAGAAAAGATCAGCAATAGGCGTCTCTGGCAATGAGCGAACCAACCAGGAACCGATTGTGAAACAAATAGGCAGGAAGAAATGGAGGTGGATTGGCTGGCCATAGTCTGAGGAAACCATCACGTGACATCACTAGACAAGCCATTGATCGAGTGGAAGTGGAAAGGGAAGCGGCGAGTTGGTCGTCCGAAGGTGGGGTGACTTGGAGGAGGTCATGTGAAGAGGAGATGAAGGTATGTGGGCAGACTTGGAGGGAGGTGAAAAAGTTGGCAGAAAACCGAAGGCAATGGAGACTTGGGCAGCTGAAGCCCTATGTTCCTCTACGAATTAAAGGATATAATAATAATAATAATAATAATAATGATTTCGCCCACACAATCCATTGCTCCCCCGCCTAATTGTTTATCCAAGTAACGTTTCTCATGGCGTTGTACAACCCACAGAGAACATCAATTGCAGTCAGTGGAATTCTTTGGATAATTGCAATATGCAAGCCTGACCATTACGTCAAGTTTAACAGCTATCGAGGACACGTAAGTTTTTTTCTTGAATTCCTCAGTTACACTTCATCAGCCCCCCTCGGAAACCGGGATGAAGTATTCAACAGCTATTGTATTTAATAATTTGAGCAGTTTAACTTTTCTTTTAAAGTCTACTCAACCATAAAATGCTCTACTTTAATTGTTGTTATTATTTTCTTTCACAATTACTCTTTTCTTTTTTAGGTCTCAAAAATTTCATAGTTTTCTCAAGGCGGCATTAACAAAAAGTGAAAAAAAGCGACCAACAGCTCAAGCTTTATTACGAGTATGTTTTGTTGTATTTTGTTCTATTCTCCGTTGTTGTCAGTTTATATTTCTGCAACTGTTATAGCTTTATTGTTTGTGTGTGAGCATTGCTTGTTCTCGGGTGTGTCACTCATTGATGATGAGCTTATGGTGCAAACATCTGTCTCTGATTGGGCACTGGCTAGTAACCAGTATTGCGGTGTGTGCTGCTGACTAGGTTTATCGATAGTATATAGATACGAATTGATGGGAGGTAGCTAAAATTGAAGTCAACATTTCAAGTCAGTGGTTACAGAAGCAGAAATGTTAATTCCTCATGTGTGGATTTAGCTTACGTTGTGGTTGAGAAATACTCTCATTGGACAACTCTTGATAAACTGGGAGGCCAACAACTGTGTCTCCAGCTCTTTATTAAGCATGCGAAGCGCGCGACGAAGTAGACTTGTCAGCTTTGACCGTTAATACCAGCGAGTCCCCGTCTGGTTTCAGCTTCATATCACAGAATAGCTGCAATACCTGAAGTCTATACGTCGGGCTGTCGAACTCCGCCATCCATCGTTCAACCAATTCTTTTCAGGTCTCTTTATCGCTTGACTGCTCCACACTGTTGTACGCCGTCATTGTTTGACCTTTCGGTAACGTTCCGAACAAAGCCGACTTTGCCATTGAATCCTTGATACCCATCAACTCAACATTAGAATCGAAATTTCTCAAGTAGCTTCTTATGTGTCCTACTTTGAAAGCAGAAGGGCATCGGATTTTCATTATCTGAAGGTAGTGACATCAAGAGCAATCGGTTGAAGACAAGAGACGTCTTAACGGTATTTTTTATGACGGAAAAACACCATATTTATACATATTTCAAGCCACATTTAAATTCAACCAGGTTTAACCTTGAGACAAAATGATGTGCTGTGAGGTTATTTCCTGACCACAACGTAAACTGAATCCAGATTTGAGGGATGAACATTTTTACTTCTGTAGTCACTGACTTAAAATATTGATTTCGATTTTGTCTGCTTTTAATTAATCTATGTTTATTTACTACTGATAAATCCTGTTAGTAGCACCCGCCACAGTATCATGCATCTAGTCCCCTGTTTGGTGCAGACTGAGTGCTGTCAATCAGGTTTTCAATGTGGCCACCATGCTAGGTGTCGTGACATCATGGGGGACTATGAATCGTTCTTATTACTAGATGTTGAAGGCAATCATCAAGACGTCTTAGAGCTTCGTGTTGTGCTGTGCTTGTTGGCTGGCACTTGTCAGCGAGGCGTATCTGCAACCTTGAAAGAACTGGCATTCCTTCTGAGATATGAACCCCCGTGCAACCCATTGCTGCACTCAGTCAGAGACGGCACCACTAAGCTATTTAGGCTTGTGACTGACCCTCTGCAGGACTTTGATTGGGCATTATCTCTTAGAGATCTTCGTGATGATTCGTTCAAGTCTTCTCATCGGTCCAGGATATTCTTGAAATTTATGCTGTGTATAACAATTGCTGTCGTTCTGATTATTTAGGTTGCTTGTTCGAATATTGTCTTTCATTAGATTTATCTGTGCTCAATAAACAATATTTCATTATATATTCTTTGGGACTCATTAGTAAGAGTATACCTACATCTCAAGTGAGAAAGATCCTGTCTGCACTTCAACCTAAGCCTTGAATTCTACGCACACACCCCTACTCGCATCATTTCAAACACCAAAACGCGTTAACAGGGTTTCGTCATGAGCTGACATTAGTTAGAGAATCATTGGAAAACCTGAGAGTACTATCAGACAGCTGTTTCGTCAGGCTAGTTTGGGACTCTTCATCAGTATGCATCCACCGCCAGGGTTCGGACCCAGGACCTTCTGGTTACAAGGCGAGCCAGCTCGTATTCCACTGAGCCACTGGGACTCGATCCAGTGTCCAGCCCATGAATTCTAACTTCTACCAATTCACGACATAGCGCGACCGCTAGCCAATGTCTTCGGTGGCGAGTATTTGTCCTCACACCCGGCTTGCTGCACCCCGCTGGTCACGACTTCTGACTAGAACCCTCAGGTAACTGCCTACCTACCTACCTGAATAGGGCAAGTCGCTATAGTGAGCATCTCATTGATATTCAAGTGTTGGTTTGTTGTAGGTATTTGATTGGTTTGGTTTACAGGATGGGTGGGTGCGTACTGATGAAGAGTCCCAAACTAGCCTGACGAAACAGCTGTCTGGCAGTACTCCCAGGTGGTTTTCCAATGGTTCTCTGACTAAAGTCAGCTCATGACGAAATCCTGTAAACCGATCAATCAAATCCCTACAAACCAACACTTAAATACCAAAACGCTTTGTTTGTTATCCATTAGACCTTATTTGAGCTATCCCCGTAAGGCGGCGGCATACCCTCTTTTTTTGCAGTGTTTGTACTATGTACTATGATAAGAGTAGAAATGTCAACTGGGAGGAATTAGTTGGGCATTTCGGTCTATCTATAATATGCCATCAATCACACACCAGTTGGAGTGGCGGGGTGGGGTGGGGTGTGTGTGCAGGGCAGGAAATACTAGTTTTAACCCTTTTTTTTGTGCTAAATCTATTCGTCTCTGTATGCATTATAACTTTTAGTTTTTGACATTTCGCTTATATTTTTCATAGGTCTTATTGATTTCCTTTAGTGTTTTTGGAAGGTAGTGAAATTTTAAGTTTTCTCTCCCGTGTCTCTAAAACTCTATTAGTTTTATTATTATTATTATTATTACTACTACTACTACTACTACTACGATTACTATTATTATTATAATTACTGTTAGAATCGATAAAAATTTTTCATTCTCTTCGTCATTAAATGACACATTTGGTTAGTAGAGAGACAGGAAATTTTTTCTAGATAACGCCGATGTGTATAAGCGTTTGTGTGTGTGTGTGTGTTGTACCATAACTAGAATTTTATATATATTTTGTGATATTATAATCGTGATAGTAATGACATAATATGCTCACAGTTATACAGAGTGTTGTGTTGTCTTGTAGTGTATTGTATAGCAGTGTCCTTATTACAGGTCAGAGAACGTAAAATAGAGGTCTCAATCAGCTGATATTTATATGCATTCATTCGATTTTATCCATCTATCCCGTTGGTCAGATTTGATTCATTTCTCACTCGTCCTTAAATATTTGTGTGTGTGTGTGTTTGTCGAACGAACGATCCAGATAGAGAGAGCATGTTGTTACTTAACACACAGTAGTAGCCAGCTGTTTATATCAACATAAAATTTATGAATTTCCCTAGGGGGAGATTATTCATTTTATTTTTTAGTACAATGTGATGACCATAAGAGAGATCAGTGAGATTAGTTAGTATTGATTGCTATTCAATGTGTGTCGGTCAGTTTTACTTTTGATATCTTCATTGAAACGGATTATTAAAAAAAATTTTGTTTTAGAATTTCGATCACTATCTAATACTATTTCGATAAGCAATCGAAACTAGAAACTATTGTTGAACAGATCTTTTGTCCCAATGTTTTTTCACGCCTATGCTTCCTAGTGCCAGCGGGGAATTGGACCGTGGTTGGCGAGCATTCTACCGCCCAACCGTTGATGCACACAAAAGCCAACAACCACACCCGGCATTTTACCAACCGGGTCACCTTTGCAAGTACGAATCCGGCACAACATTGCTTTACTTCAGTGACCCAACGAGTACCGGTGATCTGGTCGCCAACCCTAGTTTAGGACTCTACAGTAATATTGTAACAACAGAAGACAAGGGCCAGGCAATAGATCGTTTTTTTTTAGGAAATCAACAGATATTTATAGATTTTCATGTACATTATTATAGATTATCGTTAGCAGATAAACACAGTCTTCTGATTAGTGGTTTCTCGCTGAACGTTAATCTTTCATCTGTTTGTGGCTGTTTCTGCAAATTGTACCCGCCTACGCAAAGTCTGCTGTGATTGGTTGTTGAGTCAGTCAGTCTTTGTTCTTATTTTTCTCATGACCAATATTGGGGACGTAAACATTGACGTAAATTGCTGTCTACCACTTTTGGCTAGCAGCCAGCTCTCACTACAATATTAGTAAATGGCTTTATTCCATGCAATACTTTTTCTAAAGTGTAGCTTTCTTAGCGCATGGTACAATATTGTATCTAGTGGTTCTCTTCATAGTGTATATTGTATAGCGGAAGAAATCATTCACCGGTACGCATCTGTGACATCTCGTAAATGGAAGGTCTTGATTCACCTCCTATGCTGGTGTCATGGGTATGTACTTTTGAGAGTCCCAAACCACTGGAAACGCATCTTTTCAGATTTTGGTGCATTTTAGCCACCTGGAGGTGCGATACACAAGATCTTATAGTTTCTGGGAGGACTTGGAAATTGTCTGGACGCCGAGACCGACGTAAGTGGTTGTTTTAAGGTGTCATCCCTCCAGCCTTTTACTTGTCATGTGATACTCAATGCAGTGGAGCATCGTTATTTGCTACGTTCTCTTGGTGTCTGGTGGTCAAAACAGATTCATGCACCATTCGATCCTTTTGGAATCTGGATCCTATGCATGCCATAGGCTTTCTAATCGATGTTTTCCATCTCCCTTAGGTAGGTCAGTCATCTTTATCAGTCCGATTGTAAGCTCTAAACACTGGAACTCACGCGTTCGCGTTTGTAGCGAACACCCTTGTTGCGTGAAGAGACAGTAAGTAGAAATAACCTTACAGAGGCAGCTATAAACTAGTGGCTACATGAGAGCGTTTGGGGGGTGAAAACGGGTGTCTACATCCACCCTTGGTTATACCAAGACGTTTATTGGGAGGTGGGGTGGTGTGGGTGATATTACTTGTCAATTATAACACTTCGTAGTTTCTTTACAACCGCTTTACAACTAACATGGTTAACAATAGTAAAATAAAGTTTATGACAATTACTCAGTTAAATAAAAAAAACAAAAGTACATATTAATGATCAATCATATTTAAATAGGTCATGTAGACCATGGTGACACCTATACATAGGTAGAACCAACAGAATGTTCCTATGTCGTCGAAAAGAACATGTTCCAAAATGGCTAATAAATCATGAAGAAAATCCCAATGCGAATAATCTGAATAGAAATCCAGTATCATCATCCATTGCAAAACACTTATTAATGTCAGGTCATAAAATCAATATTCGTGACTGTTTCACAATTATCTAATCACATAACTTTCACATAACTCTAATTCAAGGTTGGTTATTGAAGGTAATGGAAGCACTTTGGGGAATTAATTACATACAGCCTAAACTGTGTGTACAAAAAAACAATAGACTTCAATCTTCGCTTACCATGAACTGACTACTTGACCTATTCAAATATGACTGGTCATTAGTATGTACTTTTGTTTTTTATTTAACTGAGTAATTGTCATGATCTTTATTTTATTCAACTATTGGTTTGTAGGGATTTGGTTGATTGGTTACAGGATTTCATCATGAGCTGACAATGGTTAGAGAACCCACCTAGGAGTACTGGACAGTTGTTTCGTCCTAGTTTGGGACTCTTCATCAGTACGCACCCATCGTCAGGGTTCGAACCTAGGACCTTCTGATTGCAAGGCTGGCGAGCTCGTATACCATCAAGCCACTGAGACCCGATTTTATTTTATTATTGTTAACTATGTTAGTTGTAAAGCGACGATATCACCTAGCGAAATTTGTCTTCTAAATGCCTTATTCAAATCAAATCAAAACGGGGACTAATTGTTTTAACACTGTTAACTGTTATATAACACTGTCGTATAGGATAAAAATTTGATTGAACTGTTATTAGTATGCATTATTTCGCCTCACTTATTCATTGTGTTTTATTCATAATTTAATATTTCTTTATTATTTTTTTGATCTTTTTTTTTTACCCAGCACGAGTTTGTTACTCAACCACATTTAACTAGACTATTAACGTTGAAGTTACTGGAGGCGAATCGTAATCCAGAGAGCACCAGCTCCAACAACAATAGTAGTAGTGGTAGACTAGCGTTAGCTACTGGCTATGACCCTTCGAATAATCCACCACCACCGATACAACAACCGAAACAACAAGAATATTCTGCCTTATTATCTGGACGACCAGATTATCCAATGGTGACAGTGAATAAACTACCAGCACAAACACCTACGGAAGAACATAAAGTAAGCAGGAGAAATAATTGTTTATCATACGTATTGTTCTTATGTTTATTGGTGATTGAACACTAGAGAGCAAACTAGACAACTACTGGCTTGTTGTCCTATTTTGGGCACGCTTCAGCCCTGTTTATCATCAGAAACACTTCACCAGGGGATAGAATCTTAAACCCTCAGATTAAGACATCAAAGCGTGTTGACCATTCATTCAGCTACTTGGGATGGAACTGTGTAACACCCCTTGTCAATTCGTGATATAACGCTGTTTTAACCAATGCCTTCGATGAACATTCACTTCTCTTTTGATGATATGGTGGTGGAGCCCACTACTGGTTACAACTTCTGAGTGAAATCTTTAGGACATCTATCCCAGTAGCCATCAGTTAGCTTGGGACTTGATATTTAGATTCTGAGATTTGAATTCATTTGATTTCAATTGTTAGATGATGAGTGAGTTTCCGGATTGACGGAAAGCGGCGATCAAACTAAAACATGGCCTCATCAGTCAATGAAATACACAACAGTTAGTTTAAGCCAACCACGTAGGAAGGTGTAGACTTCCTGACTGGTTGGGGTCCTCGGGATGGTAAAAACCAATGGTTGGAAGCAATTGGTGACATGGCTCAAAGTGATCGTTTTCAATGGCTGGCTCAGATGCGCATCCACTTCTTGTGACTTGTGATTTCCAATGAAACTGTTTTGTTCTTCGTCATTACTATTCGTTTGTCTCACACCTCTGTTTACTGTCTCTAATATGCATTTCTTCTACTGTCTTCTCTTGCTTTGTGTACTACATGGAGGGAGTGTAGCGACTTGAACTGGTGCACATTGGTGCAAAGTTTTTTGTCGAAAACAGAGAAAACAGAGAGATTCATGGAAATCGTTTCTCATTGCAAATTGAAGTGATTTCATTGTCATTGGAGGGGGGGGGAGGGCTATCAGTAGTAGTTGTATACGGGGGTTGCTCGTTTCATTCTGTTTTGGATACGTTTGTTGGATGTATTTGCTCTCCAACAGCGAGTGTTGATAATGTTTCAACCAGTAAACATAGTTCCAAACGCTATAGTGTTTCTCTGGTTTGATCACATGGGTTGGTATCTGTTAGAGAATCGTTGAAAACTAGCACGGAGCACTGGACACAGATTTTTAGTCCTAGTTTGGGACTGCTCAGCATTACGCACACTTCATGACCTCCACACTAGGGATCAAATCCTCAATCTTCAGGTTATGAGGCAAAACTCATTGACCATTCTTTCACTTGGTTTTGAATCTAATGACTCTTGACTTATAACTTCTGTCAATTTGTGGACCCTATTGTTTGATGTAATGATCTCTCACTGGAACTCTGGGCAACTTGATTTCATTTGTGTAGGGTAGATGATGAAAAATCATTTGAGGAGGTGGATGGCACATTGGTTGTCTGTTGTTATGTTTATTTGTGAGGGAGAAGTGGTTGTATATTCTGTATGTTTCTTTCGTCTCCTGGTAGAAAACCATCATTTGCACATTGAATAAGTGAAGTAATTTCCATATGTGAAAATTTATTTCGCATTGATTCCAGTTCTGTTTTCAGAATAGAATATCTTCATTATATTTGTCTTCATTCTACAGTTTTTTATCTGAAGGCGGAAAGAGTGTATAGGCAATGTCTGACTGTGAAGGGAGTGCCAAGAAAGTACATTGCACTAATCAAGGCACTTTACTCAAACTCACGTAGTCGTGTAAGGGCTTATGGGGAATTGTCATCTGAATTGGTAACAACCAGTGGTGTCCGACAAGGATGTCCACTTTCCCCATTTCTGTTTAACTTCATCATAGATATGCTGATGGAAGTATCCTTAACTGAACGTAATGACTTAGGAATCGACTTGTTACCAGGGAATAATCTAATGGACTTAGAATATGCAGTTATGGATAAGATTTTATTTTGATAAATCACACAGTGTTGTACAGGAATATTAACTGATGACCACCTTTCGAGCACAAATTATTCCTCATAATTATATGATGTGATTCATCCCATGTCAGCTAACATTGACCTGACTGTCAAGGAAGGCGATGGTTAGACAGATGTAACAATACATGCCCTAACTATCTTATTCCGTGTAACTTCACAACGTCGTTTATTGATTTTCCCTCGTAACCTAACACTCGATCGATGCCTAGCCTCAATATTACCCACCCTACTATACCACCTAACACGTGATGTAGATAGAACATAAACACCTATGGCTAAAGAAAACTAGCTGGTCTTTTCATCTGTTTCACATTCAGTGACCATGTCTCACTCACAGTCATAAAGGAGGACAGAGTGAACTGATGAGCAGTACACATGTATTTTGTTCGACAGCCAGCTGGATACCACGTCTACTAAGCCAGAGAAGACGTAAGTTGGCGAATGCCAAACAAGCCCTGTGTATCCGTTGTGTGATTTCGTCAGCGATCAACCCGATGGTGTTGACTGATACAACTTCCCAAATAACAAGTGAATTGGTCAACAGGCTCTACCACTTCACTCCCTATCTTTAAGCTAGGAGCGAGTCGGTGTAGTCTAGTCCAGTCATGTGGCATCATCTTTCATTTGACAGTACCTGAATTGCATATCAAAGATTCCCAAATTGGTGCTGCAAGTGTTCAGAAGACTCTGCTGGATTTTGTCAGCGTCTTTAACTTGGAAAGAGGACTATATCATCTGCATATTCTAAGTCAACGAGATTATTCCGTTGCAACAAGTCAATCCCTGAGTCTCGGAAGTCAATTATAGTTAAGTCCATTAGGACATCTATGATGAAATCAAAGGGAAAATGGGTACAGTTGATATCCTTGATGGATACCACTAGTTGTCACCACTTCAGATGATAACTCTCCGTAGACTGTGTCTTCCCTGGTTGGCTGCATGAATTCTAGTTGAGTTTGTCTTGATCCAGTGTATTGTGTGTTTTCTCTGCATTAACTAGTAGTGCTTGCCAACCAGCCGGATCGAAGTGTTCGAAATACTGCTGCATGACATTTTGGCTCATTTTAAGCCGAGCTCATCAGCGATGTACTCAGTTTGTCTCAGCTGAGATAGCCGAGTCACTTCAAACCACCCAAACCAGTGGAACTGTCGCCTGATGTTTATATCACTTCGGTCTGGCTAACTGGCTGGCAGACACTATTGGTTGATCTCAGGTGTGTGGGCGGGGGTATACAACTACTCATGTCATATCAACCAGTAGTATGTATTTTATGTCACTAATTATTTCATCGTTATTATCTTTTTTTGTTCAGGAATCTCTAAGTGATCGAATCAGTGAATTCGGTTTTCGTATTCATGGTTCATCTGAAGGTGAAGAGGATTTAGAAGATGAAGAAGATGATCTAGAGGATAGTGGAATTCGAGATGAGTAAGTTTTGAATATTACTCTTTGACTTTATTTTCTTTTTTCCTCAATATTCCGTTTCAATCACGTATTGATATTGGTTAGACAACCATTGAAAACCAAGAACTAATGCATAGTCGTTTCTCTCGTAATTTTGAGACTCTTCCATAGAATGGAGGATTTCATCATGAGCTGATATCAGTTAGAGAACTACTGGAAAACCACCTGGGAGTACTGGGCAGCTGTTTCGTCCTAGTTTGGGACTCTTCATCAGTGCACGCCCAACACAGGGGTTCGAACCGAGACCTCCTGGTTATAAAGCTAGCGAGACCGTAGACTGTTGAGCATTGGGACCGGAACCAACGGCCAACCGATGAATTCTTACTTCTACCAGCCCAGTCACGACATGGCGCGACCATTTCGCAATGTCTTCTTCTTCGATGAGTTACTGCCTCATCTTCAACCTGATGTAGCCTGCTGGTCACGGCTTCCCACTAGAACCCCAGGTTAACTGCCTGAATAGGGCGAGTCATTAGTCAGCGTCTGGTTAATTTCCAAATATTGGTTTTTGTAGGGGTTTTGTTTGATTGCATGGAGTCTTCTAACCATTCAGCCTTCGGTTTTTTACTGAATCCCAGCTTTTGTCAATTTGCAGTTTACCATCACTCCCAATCGCCTATCCTGACACTCAAATTAGTGGACAAATAAATAAGCAAATCTAATAGGTCGAGATCCTGAGACATTGAAGCCATAAATAAAATGAATAAAGAAGAAACTATCCAATCAGGTTTAATTATATCAGTACATCCACAGATCATGACTTAATGGCTAGCAAAGAGACAGTGACCTACAATTTCTTGGTATGATAACTGAACAACACTCGTGATGATTGCAGTGAAGTTATTTTTTTATAAGCTTCGAGAAATGGGCCACAAAAAATGTCACAGATAGTTCGACGGTTACGATATACTCTACTATCCGAACAACCTAAACCTCACATCAGGTAGTTGTCTTAAGCAGTGACCCATCTCTCAGCCTTTTAAGTTGAAGTCTGATCCACAAGGCAGTGTTGTAGCGTCAGGAGGTACGTTTACATGATTTCTGATGACGAGAATTGGTTCATACATTATTTAATCGGTTCAGGTTCTGAAGCCCATGTCCACCGTAGAATTGAAATTTGCTTTTTCTAACTCCACTAGGGAAGATCAGCATGTCCACCCGATTTGTTTTAAACCCCAGGGATTCAAATTCATCCCATCTTGCGGCCAAGGCAATGAAAACGCGATCACCTGAGAGCGTTTAGAAGGGGGGGGGAGAGTGAAGTGTAGCCAATTTTGGAGGAACCAGGTCGTTTATGAGTTTAGGTCTTTGAGCTGGTTGATTCGTAAAAAGTGACAAATTATGGATTCAGAGGTCGACGGTTTCGTATCCTTCTGTGATTTAGATGTTTATTTGAACTTTAATCAGCGTCATCCCCTTTAACATCATGAAGAAACTGCCTATGGGAATTACTATCCGAGATATAACTTCACTGTTGATTACTTTTTGAAAGAAATTAAATTTATGTCTCAGTTTAACTAATAATTTGTTTGTCTCTCTCTTTCTTTTTTAACTTTCTTGCACCACTTTCGCGACACTCCACCCCAATGCCACCTCGTCCTCTTGCGATCTGTCTACTGGATATTCTCATCACTATGATAATTGAACATTATGTAATTTAAACGATACAGGATAGTTATACCGAATAATGTATATGATATAGCCATGAATATATATGGATTGCCATCGAAGAATGGAGCTACAGCCGGAGGAGGAGGGGGAGGCGAGTGTACAACATCGCCAACATCAAATCATCATAATACAATGACGACGACGACGTCGAGGACAACACCAACAGCGGTAGCAGCAGCAACAGTTGAAAATCATCAAAACAAACATTTAGTCAACGGTGAATGTGGAGAAAGAGGAGGACAGAATCAAACACCACAAGATTCAGTGAATTCTAATCAGGATACTAAGAAAGAGAATATTTCACAGTCACCTTTAACCGTTAATACTACTACTACTACTAACACTAATAATAATAGTAGTAAATTGATTAGTCAAAAAGAATTAGATTTAAATGAAATTATCAATTGTACTGAACAAGAATTTTATCCAGAGAAATCAGGAGAGTAAGTTTAACTTTTTCTTTTTTCGTTGTATTATTAGTGTTATTATTATTCCTTGGGTTCCAAGTGGCCCATAGAGCTTCAACAGCATATCTCTACTTTATCATATTCTCCGCTGTCCTCTTAACCTGGTCCTATGATTACCCACAAGCTTCCATCTTCTCCGTAGTCGTTGTTTCCCAATGGGGTTCCACTCGGTCGATGGTCTGTATTGCGCGCGGTATCACCCTTAACTGTGTTCCTCAGTGTATGTATCCGGTCTGTCTCCGTTTACTTCAGTATATTCGTTGGATAATAAATAGGTTCCATTGATATAAGAATAAAACTTGTGCATTGTGGTAGAGTGTAATTCCATTATGGGTAAATAAAGCAGGAATTAGGGTGGCATTTAAACCTACAAACTCACTCAGGCATGGACAAGCTCTGTAGGTTCAAGAACCCAGTTGACGCTATTAGAAAAAATAATATAATTTACAAAATACCCTGCAATGACTGTGGGGTCAACTTCATAGGTCAGGGGTAGTCAGATTGTCGGAATATAAGAATTTAGCTAAGGTAAGAATGGTTGACCCCGAGAAGATAAGTAATTTAGAAAAAAGCTCAGCAATTGCAATGCATGCCCTAACACACAACCACACAATAGGGTGGGAGAGGGTTAAAATTCTAAAAAGTAATCTAGGTAGTTGGAGAGAGAGGTTGATTACTGAATCCTTGTTCATCGAGTCTACACGCAACACATGCAATAGGAATGACTCATCACTCTTTGATCATAGGTGCCTGCGTTCTATATCCCGTGTAAAGTGGCATAATAAGGTGAGCAACATGGAGGTTAGGCGTCGAGTTCTAGGTAAAGAGGGAAAACGAGAGTGGACAAAAGAGTGTAGATGTTTCACCCCCCCCGATTGGATAGGGGAAAAAGGGGGAAAAAAATGCCCCATAAAAACCAAATGTACCGGAGGATCGGGGCCGGGAAAATTGTGAAAATGGAGCAAACTTCGGGCATTCCCTCCTGTTTCCAAATTTTTTATTTTTTCTCTTTTCCACCCTTCCTTTTTTTTTTTTTTTTTTTTCTTTTCGGACGATGGGTATCCCATTTGAATTTTAAAAAACATACCTGAAATATGGAAAATACTACTACTAATAAAATTAAGCGAAAATCAAGTGAAAAATAATGGAACTATATAAATGAAGTTAGGAAGTCGTGTGATTACCTTGATATGATTATGAGCAGTCATAAATTGTGCTCGAAACGTGGTCATCAGTAAACAATAACTGTATAACACCGCTGTGAGACTTTATCGAAACAAAAATTTACCCATAATGGAATAAATAGGTTCTTGGTTGTCACGTTCCAAGAGCTTTTTTTGTGATTATAGCTTGATTCCATACAGTACTTTTGGTAGAAGTGTGGGATTTTCAGCATGTGATATCGGTAGCCCAAATTTTGCAGGCCGACCACCGTAGATATCTGGCGTGCGTCGGCAGGGGATCGAACCTCGAACCATGTGCATGGCCGGCGAGAGACGTAACCACTATGCCACCGACGCCATCTGTTCCTCAGTATCGAGTCAGAGAAGACAGCTGTTGATAGAAGTCTTCACTGGTTTTGTTTCGGAATGCTTTTAGTCACATGATATGTTTCTTACCTATATATATGTATATTTATTGATGTTTTGAATATTCGAATTTTGTTCTTCATGCTGACTTAGTTCAGAAGGTTTCCAAACCGAAGGTCTTTCTTGCCATTCCGGTTCTAGTTTTGACATTTTTATCCGTGCCGTATGTTTCGTGGGTGAAATGATGCTCCCTGGATAAGTGAAGGATGCGACCTGTTTCACATTTATTCCTTTGATAGCGACTGGCACTTGTTGTTGTTGGTTGGTTGGTTATTATTATTCTTCCTTTAATTCCTAGAGGAACGTAGGGCTTCAGCTGCACGTCTCCATTGCGTTCAGTTTACTGCTAACGTTTCCACCTGACTCCATTTCTGCCCACATACCTTCATCTCCTCTTCACATTACCTACTCCAAGTCACCCTGACACTGACGACCAACTCGCCGCTTCCCTTTCGGTTTCCACTCCAGTGATGGTTTGTCTAGTGATGTCACTTGATGGTTTCCTCAGAGTATAGCCAGCTAATCCACCTCCATTTCTTTCTGCTTATTTGTTGCATAGTCGGTTCCTAGTTTGTTCGCTCCCAGAGATCCCTGCTGCTGATCTTTTCTTGCCAGACATCTGACCTTGAGTATTGAGCAAAGACAACTGTTAATGAAGGTCTGTAGTTTGTTTGAGATGCTCTTCATGACGCGCTGGCCAAGTCTCTGATCCGTGTAGTAGCACTGACTTCACATTGGAGTTGAAAATCCGGATCTTGTTTTTGATGCTGAGTAGAGCTGTTGACCTCCACACAGACTTGAGGGTAGGGAAAACTTGTCTTGCTTTCCCTATCCTTACTTTGATATACTCGTCAGTTCCGCTCGTAGTTGGTTGGCTATCCTTATCGCCTTATATGAAGAAGGAACATCAGTAGTGCTACATCAGATAAGTCTGGAGTATGGATGACATTTAAACCAACTAATCAACTCTATCAGAAATAAAGTTTATCGGCTTAGGGACTCAATGGTCCAGTTAACAATAATAATAATAATCTACTTTATTCCAAAACAGACAGTACTTATAATACAGAAGGGGATTCTCGGCATTTGTCACAATATTCCATCTGATTTACTCAAAATATAAATAAAATAAAAATAAAATTAACCAGAGGAATTTGTTCACATTTACGGTATAAAGTGAAAAATATTCAAATTACGAATTGAGAATAGTAAATATAATAATAATAATAATAATAATAATAATAATAAAAGTGAGTTTGTTTTAAACAGTATTATCGATTCAAGTTTGGGAATTTTAGCATGTTATAGAGTATTAAATCTAAGGTACTCTTTGAAATAGTTTCGTGAGGGGAAATACAAAATTATCAGTTATAAAACAGCTTAAATGATGTTTACACTTATGGGAAAATAAACAAATAATAAAAACAAAAAATTGGGAGGATTATAACTATACGAAGTACAATAGCAATAAACTTTGATGTTGTAAGGGTGGAGGAAATGGTTTATTTAGTAGTACAAAGAAGGTTAGTTAGTTCATGCCTAACACTATTTTCATCACATAAAGTACGTGCTGCCAAATATGGTATAGTGGAATTTTTATATTTGGACTTACGTGCATAAAGTCTTCTGAAAAGACTGAATCGCTAGGATATGGAAAGACCAGGATAGGTCAAAGGAAGGAATTCATCCAAGATACTTAACTTCAGATTTGATTTCTCTTCAGTATCATCAATTATACAGCGGCCATAGGAATTAACTTCACTTAACTCTCTTTTATACCGGAAACTGAAATTAACAGTCTTACGTTTGAACGGATTTAGTTAAGGCCGCCAGACGAAGACCATTTGCTAATTCTGATAGAAAGCTGTTCGTTTTAGTACAGTTAGCTGAGAGGTAACATATATTGAAATAGTTAGATCGTCGGCATACTTAACAAAGTTCATTTCGTCATCAGAGTGACGCAAATCATACAAGAAAAAAAAACAGAAGGACAATGAACAGCACCTTGAAGGACACCTATCAACTTTGGTAGTAACATAGTGATAGATGATGTTATTATTGTTAAACCTAGACAATAATTATGATTATATCTTCTTTGGTCAACAAAAGATTTAACATTTCCATACTGTTTCAACTCCTCTTCACACTATCTCCTCCATGTCACCCTTGCACCGACGTCCACTCGCCGCTTCCTTTTCGGGTTCCACTCGATGGCCTGGCGCCCGATGTCACCAGCGGCCTCCTCAGCGAGTGTCCAATCCATCTCCACTTTTTTCTGTATATTTGTTGATTGGCGATCGGTTCTTGTTTTGTTTCTTCCCATAGTTTCCTGTTGGTGATTCTCTTTCTGACCTTCAGTATAGAGCGAAGACAGTTGTTGTTGATAAAGGTCTGCAACAGGCTGTTAGTGGAAATATTCTTTGTGACCCGCCACCAAGTTTCTGATCTGTATAGAAGAATGACTGACTTGACGTTTGTATTAAAAACCCGACTGGATTTTGCTGTTGATGTTGAGTGACGAATATTCCCAGGTTGATGAATGTGTTTCGTTTCCCGATTCGCATTTGACATCCTCGTCGTTCCGACTTCCTGTAGTTGAGACAATGCTCCCTAGATATGAAGTGAATGAAGTAACCTCTTTCAAATCCCTCCTGATGGTGATTGGCGCTGGATGTTGTGTTGCTGTTTGTTGTTGGTTGGTTTTTTCATAACCTCCGTCTTGTGTTGTTCACATGGAGTCCTGTCTTTGCTGCTTCTTCGACCAGTTTGCCGGTTATCGCTTGTAAGTCTTCGATTTTGTGTGACATCAAACATAAATCATCCACGCGCGAAATCCAGGTCTTCTAGGTTCTTCCGTCGGTCAGGATATCCCTGTCTTCTCGTTTCCCACTCTGACGCAAATCCACCAAATTAGGAATATCATTGGTGATAATAGCACCCTTGTCTGACCTGTGTTTATTCAAACGCCTCGTGAGTTTTCCGTTGTGGATGACTTGATATGTGCCTTGTCGTACAGCTGTTGAAAAGGTTGATGAATACCGTAGTACTCGAGTAGTTTCCAAATTACTTCACGGTCAACGCTGTCGAAGGCGTTCGAAAAGGCTATAAAGTTGAGGTAAAGGTTTGATTGCCATTCCATTATTGATATAACCATTTTTAAATGAGTTACTCCTTCACTAGTCCGAAAATTTCCATTCAAGTGTTTAAAAGTCTAATCATCAGTCAAAATTGTTGAAGAATTTATTTTATTTTTGGTTTTTTTGTAAAACAAGATTTTAATGATGTTTACCGTCTGTCTTTTTTTCTCCGTATTATTATTATTATTATTATTGACAAACCGAGTAATCATCCCCCATCGACTGTTGTTGTGTTTTCGTCTAAATCCCC